GATATTTACTCAACGCAAAATTTGCTCAAGTCTTTTGTATCATCTCATGGGAACTAAACAAAAAAAAAAAAAATGACGAGGAAATTCACAAAAAATCAAAACTTGCAAATTTTTACATTGAAGCGCAAAGAAAGCGTTTGATTGTGAGCGAATAATAGTTAAATACAGCACAAAGAAATTCTTGCCGCCATCATAAAGTAGGCTGACAAAATGTAAATGACCGCTGAGGTGCAATAAAAACTGCAAAAATAGAAAGAAAAAACAAGTGTGCTTACCCTGCCCGTCAGAGGTCGCAATCGGTTGGCGGTCAACTAAAACTACTTCACGCATCAAACTTGTATTACTTTTGGATACCTATAAGCAAATACTAAACACCAAAATTATTTACTTANCTTGCAAATTTTTACATTTAAGCGCAAAGAAAGCGTTTGATTGTGAGCGAATAATAGTTAAATACAGCACAAAGAAATTCTTGCCGCCATCATAAAGTAGGCTGAGAAATGTAAATGACCGCTGAGGTGCAATAAAAACTGCAAAAATAGAAAGAAAAAACAAGTGTGCTTACCCTGCCCGTCAGAGGTCGCAATCGGTTGGCGGTCAACTAAAACTACTTCACGCATCAAACTTGTATTACTTTTGGATACCTATAAGCAAATACTAAACACCAAAATTATTTACTTACTCGCCACATTTCAAAATCAACCACAAATTGACACTTTTTTCTATGTCACACAAAAATTTCAGTCATTTGTGGCATTGGCATGTGTGTATGCGGGAATTGGGAGGGACGCTTGCGACATTTGGTGGGTGGCTGGCAGCGATGCGGCATAGGATAAAGAGAAGCATTGTTGTTTTTTTTTTATTATTATTTTGTAGGCGGCAGAAGCGCGCACGTACGGCCATGAGCGGGTGTAAACTGACTGATATATGGTATGTATGTATGTATGTATGTACATACATATGAATGCAGAGCTACAGTGGTGGCCAGTTCGGCCATTTTCCATTGTTTATTTGATGTTTAATATATTTTTTTATAAAAGTCCCGCGCATAAATTCACATTTAAAACTTTGTGCAAAAATTATAAAAATTCAGCAAATTTTTTCCAAGGTACCCAAAAATTTCAAACTTTTTATTAAGAATTTTTGGAAAACTGTAGGTATGCAGTTTTATAGCCCATTAGTAGGATAAATTAGGATAGGAATCAAGGCGCTTACTATTTTTTCCAAGGTACCCAAAAATTTCAAACTTTTTATTAAGAATTTTTGGAAAACTGTAGGTATGCAGTTTTATAGCCCATTAGTAGGATAAATTAGGATAGGAATCAAGGCGCTTACTATANTATTATTATTTTGTAGGCGGCAGAAGCGCGCACGTACGGCCATGAGCGGGTGTAAACTGACTGATATATGTATGTATGTACATACACATGAATGCAGAGCTACAGTGGTGGAAAAAATAATGAATGTTGACTAGTTTCGGACATTTTCCTTTGTTTATTTGATGTTTAATATTTTATTTTTATAAAAGTCCACATTTAAAACTTTGTGCAAAAATTATAAAAATTCAGCAAATTTTCTCTAAAGTACCCAAAAATTTCAAATTTTTTATGAAGAATTGTTGGAAAAACTGTAGGTATGCAGTTTTATAGCCCATTTGTAGGATAAATTAGGATAAAGTGTAAGTTTCACGACGCCTACTATAGCTTCCTATCTAAAAAAAAAAACATGTAAATGAAAATTTAAACGCTCCACGTTTATAAAATTTCGGTGAATTTTAACAAGTTTTCATCAAAATTTGAAACTTTTTAATCAGATTGTTTTTGATTTTTTTTTTTAGTATGCAATTTTGTAGCCCATTAAAATTTAGTATTTATGACTTACCATTGATTTTTGGCAATTTTTTGCTTACGCTTTTTCTTGTATACAAAGTATTTATGTTCGAAAAAATTTTTTGTGATGAAAATGTGCAACGCCTTCCACAAAAANAGCTTCCTATCTAAAAAAAAAAACATGTAAATGAAAGTTTAAACGCTCCACGTTTATAAAATTTCGGTGAATTTTAACAAGTTTTCATCAAAATTTGAAACTTTTTAATCAGATTGTTTTTGATTTTTTTTTTTAGTATGCAATTTTGTAGCCCATTAAAATTTAGTATTTATGACTTACCATTGATTTTTGGCAATTTTTTGCTTACGCTTTTTCTTGTATACAAAGTATTTATGTTCGAAAAAATTTTTTGTGATGAAAATGTGCAACGCCTTCCACAAAAAAAAATTAACGGTAAGTCCTAGCTAGTTCAAACTTGCACTTTATTTTACTAAAACTTATTGGCATGCAGGCCGCATACTCAAAATATTTCTAAGGCGGATTCATCGTTCTATTTCTACCTTTAAGTTGAAGTAGAGTGAACATCTCAGAAGCGTTCAAAGCTTTTTTCAGTTGCTCGCCCAGAGACAGTAACACTACAACAACCACATGGAAGAAAACTTGAATCCGATTTAAGAAGTGCAATTAAAAATCTCAAAATTTTGATGTAACTTTGTCGAATTTTCCTAATTTTTGTATAAAGTTTGACTTACATGATTTTTGTTAAATAACGAGCTAAACAATAAACATTAAATACGCGCACGGGAAATATCCAAAGAATGGTAAAATGTCTCTTCCCTATTTACAATTTCGCCACTGTATATACATGTTTTAGTATATATTTGTAGGTACTTTTTTAACACAAAATCTACAAAGCTAAGAAAATTTAACAAAGTGTAAATAAAAGTTGTAAAATACATACTATGTAGATTTTAGTCAAAAAATGTACAAGTGTATTTATTCGCACATACATATGTACACACTTAAGTACATGCCTGCCTGTGGTTCTATGCGCAAGCGTATGCGTGATTTTGTAGAAAATTCTCACGCGAAGTCAAACACATGAAAATGCTAAATAAACATTAATAAAAATACAAATAAACGTTTTTTTTTAGTTTTGTGGCTGAGAAGTTTGAAGTTGACAATTTGGAACCGGCAATCATCAGCGCCAAATACACAAAGTACGCATACATACAGTGACTCAAACAAATGACCACGTATTAATTTTCTTCAAATATTCGTAATGATTTTCGAGCTAAATTTTTTTGTCATTTTTCTATAAAAATATCGTGCTCTAAAGACTCACATTAAAAAGTTGAAATTTTGATAAAATTTTGTGGAATTTACCACATTTTTTTTATTTATTTATTTATTTATTTATTTAAAAAAACACGTGGTCATTGGTGTGAGTCACTGTATACCTCTCTAATAGCTTATTTACGTGACCGTAACTNTCCACATTTTTTTTATTTATTTATTTATTTATTTAAAAAAAACACGTGGTCATTTGTGTGAGTCACTGTATACCTCTCTAATAGCTTATTTACGTGACCGTAACTGCGATTCGAAATCATTAAGTTTTCAAATTAGGGCAATATATGTACATATCGCATACGATCATCAAAGGTGACACAACTCAAAATGACAAATTCGTCAGAAAATGCGAAAAACTATTTCTTAGCACCTGCTAATCATTAGGTTTTTTCAACAAATCATAACAAAAGTATGCTCCAGCTTTTGCTGAAATCTAAAAAAAATCTCTGTGCACATTTTTAATGCATAATTTTAAAAATGCTAAATTTTGAGTTGTGTAACTTTTGAAGATCGTGTGCGATGTGTAAATTCTCTTATGACTCTAATGATATCTCTCAATTTACTTTCAAGTATTTTCGTCTTATCTAGATCCACGCACTGTTTGCTTACAGATCTGCTAGGAGGCATTTAAAGCCTAACCTCCCACTAGTCTTTACTTGATACGTCCTATTCAAAATGGGTGGTTTTATCTGGCTTATCTCGCAGCGCATACTGCTGCCGTAGTAGCGAAATACCACCACCACCTGTTCACGCGTGAATAAGAAAGTCAAAAATGTCCGCTATGAGTCTAGGGCTAACGGTGGACGGGGAACCGCCTTCAAAAGTAGTGTTTCAGAAGAATGTCTCTTCCTTTAACTTTCTGGCAAACGATGCTGAATAGTATCGATCAATCTAAAATCAAAAACTCACTTATCGATAAATATTGATTAATCGATAACATACTTTACTACCGTTAAATAAAACTCGATTTATCGTTAATAGTCGATTGGTCGATAAATATCTATAAAGTTATGAATAATTCAATATTGTACGACCGACTTATCGATCAAAATCTAAAAATTCAATCAATTTATCAAAGTCGTTAGAAAAATAAAAAATTTATTTACCGATAAATAGTAATGCTTCAATAAAGTAATTACAAACATCATCGCAAATATCGATACTTGATGAACAGATAAACTTTTATGCTGAAAAAATTGATGAATTAAGCATAAGCGTCGATACTTACGATAAGACATAATATTTCAATGTCAAAAAATCGAATTATCGATAAATAGTTCATAGGGGAAAGCTTTATCGACAAATAATATTTATTTATCGCGTTTTTTTCGGTGAATTCATCTTATTTATTTACATTGATTTTTATTTATCTATAGATACGTACAATACCAAATCGATATCGATAATCGTAACGGCAAATAATTCCATTTTCATTGATGATTTACCGATATCGGTAATGAAGCTATGATTCGGGCCCGATTCAGTCATTCGACCCTTTCCGGTCTTCACACAAATCGTTGCCTAATACCACCGACCCAAAATAACCGTTAAATATGCAGATCTTTGTTTTTCCATCATTGCTAAATCTTTATTTTTTTATTTTTATTTTTCGATCAAGAATAATCATTAAATTTGAATTATTTTCCGTCAAATGTATTCGTTATATTTTCTCAAGGTGTATTAAACACGTGTTAAATACGCCTTGTATTTTCTTTTCTATTTTTTTCGATCAAAAATAAGCGGTATTTTTAATTTTTATTTTTTAAGGATTATTTAGATCGAAATAATAAAAATCATAAAATAACGGTTAAATCTTATCAGAAAACTATAAGCCCAATTTTAACTCCTACTTAAATTATGATTTTTATTATAAAAACCATAACCGCTAATGTCCCTGCTTAATACGGATCCTTTCGCGGAATGACTTTTAACAACTTAGCGCAATATTCACTAAGTATAAGTTAGTAAGAGTAGTGGTCAATTGCAAATTATTTAGTTACTAAGTAAGTAAGCCTCTAAACCTTACATCCACTAAGGGAAAAACAAATTTTGCCTAAACAATTCACGCCTCGGCGTTGTAAATTAAAAACAGTAGCAACAAATACGAAGAACAACTACAAATCTGTAAAAAAAGGCAACATCCACACAGCGACTAAACATACTAATGTGCACAGCGGCAAGTTTGAAAGTCTGAGAAGCGCCGCCGCCGCAACAAATGGACGCACAACAATAGCGCGGTTTTCTCCAGATATAAAAGCCGTTAAGCATCTGGTAAACGACATTCAGTCAATCGAATTCGAAGTTAAAGGTAGATAGTAGACGGAAAGCGTTACATTTTTCGTGTGTGTGTGTGCGATAGAAACGTTCAAGTAAATAGAAGCGAAATGAAGTGTGCTGTAAGTGAAAAAAGGATCCCATTGTGATTTCTAAAAAAGGACTAAATTTGAAATGCTGTTCTCAGCAAATGCTTTGTGAATTTACTAAACAAAAATGCTAAATATTTAACTGTTTTTGTGTTTTCTTTCTTCTCGGTGGATTCGCCGTACGCGCTATTGTGTGTGTCTGATCTCCCCGACACGAAACAGGCCCTAATCACCGCCATCGTGCTCGCAACCCTCTGCGCTGCCACAACAACAACCTACGCGGAATCCGTGCTGGATAACGCGGCGATCGCAGCGTCCACGAACGATGAGCAGCTGGATGCGGCAGCCAGCAGCTTAAATCCCTTGGAGGATACACATAAGCAGGAGAAACGTTATGTTGGTGGCACATGGGATCCGTACTCGTCGCGACTAGGACTCGGTTTGGGTAGGCAACGGCGCATAAAACGCGATAAAAAAACAAATTAATAAATTCTTTTTTTCGCATTCCAAAGAGGGCAGCTCGCTGTATAATTCCGGCTATGGTGGTTATGGCAACTACGCTGGCTACAGCGGCCTTGGTGGACTCGGCACCGCCGGATATGGTGGTTACGGCGCTTACGGCGGCTATGGGAATAACGCAGGCTACGGTTCTGCCGCCGGCTATGGTCCCTATGGCGGCTATGGCAGCCCTTACTCCTACTATAATGCACGTTTTGGTGGCGGTTATCCCTACTCGCGTTTGGGTTACAATTATCCCTCCAGTTACTACAGTGGCTACTCCAATAGCGTGGTGGGCGGTGGACTGGGCGCTCTTGGCGCTGGGGTAGTACCACCTGTGGCTGGCGTCGGTGGCGCAGGAGGCTATCAGTATGGGCCGGGCATCTCTGGCACAGTGTACTAGAGGGTCGATGAAGCGAACGGACAAAATAGTGAGAGCGCAAACTCAGACAAGGCTGCTAAGTTTGTTGAGGAAGGCTGCCAATTAATTTCGACTTTGTAATGCAAACTGATTAATAGAATAAACTCGAAGTATAAATATTTTTTAAAAAAATAAAAAAAAAACATTTTTTTTTTCAAATTGTTAAGGGCCATTACTTTCGACCTTGAATGTAAAAGAGCAAAAAGTAAGAAATTAACCTTGCCGATCACCCCATGTTAAAATTCTTGCAAACTTACCAGTTTAAAAACATTTCGGTGTAGTTAGAAATCCTTTACATAAAAAAAATATTAAGCATAAGATTTTAAAATGGTTAACACGTCTTGTCAATCCCCTAATTATATTCAGCCTCATTGCGTGAGTCGTAAATTATGCTAAATTGTACGACTCGACATCATTGGCATTGTCTACTGTCGTGCAGAAATAAGTAAACGACGAAAATCGTCGAAAAATATGCAGTGCTGCCAAGTTTTTCCGTATTAATACACTAGTCGAGTGGAAATTTCAGGCAATGACGTGAAGTTTTCGATACGATTCGACTCTCGAATAACGACTTGCATTCGGCACGACTCTCGCAATGAGGGTGATTGATTATTATTACATCAATATTTTTAAGGTACAATTAAATGTCTACATACCAGCGTGGATTTCAGGACACAATTTTTATTTTTATTTTATATACATATATTTAATTAATCAAGCGCATAAAATAAAAGTGTTATGTGTGATCATAAGGGTTAAATTAAATTATATCGACGAACTTAGCACAGAAAAGCAATTCTTGAGCAAATGAGAGTATCTTTTTAATCAATTAAAGTTAAAATCTAACGTCACCATCGTCCTTGCGGCTAAAAGCAGTCAGTTTTACAGCCAATTTTTAATTTTGTGGTTTTGATATTTTTATGATTTTTTTTTCTTTTCACTCCTGAATCTGCGTTCACATTTCACTATAGGCCACGTGTTTATCTTTGATTATCCAGAATGAATCGACGATTTCGCCATTTTTATCATCAGAAACTTGTTCGAAATAGAGATGAGTGCGATTGTAAGCCTTCATGCGGGTATAGCCGTAGTCCTGGCGAGGAAAAAAAATTAATTCAATATTAACAATTAAAAAATAAATTGAATCTCCAAAAAAAAATTACTCGAAGCCTTTTTCATGACACTTACATTGCTGTGGAAAGCGTTCCACTCTGGCAAAGTTTCGGAAAACGGTTCACGTTCCTCCTTGCAGCCAGCTGAGCCAGTTATAATCTGTATCGGCGCCTTGGCATTGGTGTAGGGTGCTTCTGCAGAGCCATTGTATACCTTGAAATCATAGATGGGCCAGAGCCGCGTGTAAAAATGTTCATGTGCGAAAATCTCAACATCCACGAAGTATTTATAAAACAAATCCTCCAAGCCGAACAATTTTCCCAGCGGCAAACCCTGTCGTATGAATGTCTCGAGTTTGTCGTTGCAATCGTACTCTTTGTTGTCGCTGCAATACATCGGCCGATGACCATAGGTGATGACCCATGGACGTTGCGCACGGTTCTCTGGCTTGTTGGCCTCGCGTAAATCATTCTCCAGCCACTCGAACTGTTTGGTAAGCAACTTGAGCCCATAATCCAAAAAGTAGTATACCTCGGTGGAGAAGGATACAAAATGTATGGGTCCTAAATCGAAGCTATACCAAAGGCTATCACCCTCGCCGGGCATATTGAAGCGTGTTTTGTAATTTGAAAAGTTGCTACACGCAAAAATTATTATTATTCATACAGACTGAGTTATTCAAAACTATTCACACTCACTATTTCTCCTCATGATTACCAGGGCATACCATGTACGGCACATAGGCGGCAATGGTTTCCACTTGTCGCATGAATTCATCACCCACGCGCGCATTCTGGGTATCCATGTCGTAAGCAAAGTCGCCGACGTGTATGATTGCATCGTACATGCCTTGTTGAGTGTCCTGCTGAAGGCGCGCCAAGGATTGTGCATTCTCGTTGCCCATGTCGCCGTAAATGGCCAAACGTGGTTGCCAGTCGCTGCCAGCGGGTGGTGTGGTGAACGTGAAGCGTGCTGACCAACCAAAATCGCTGCCACAAGAATATTCATAGCGCGTTTGCGGCTTCAAGTCACGCAATGTCACCTTGTGTATGTATTGGGAGTGCGCCTTGGGTCCGCCATCGACAAAATGCCGCGAGTCGCCAGTAATGTTGATTAAACGTTTGGTATCGGCATAGTTTTCGCTATACACCACCACTGATTGGTTGGTGGCGTCGCGGGTGGACCAAGTGACTGAGATTTCGTTGTTATTTGCTTTTGAGAAATAGAAGAAAGTTTGATAAAAGTCAGTTATGTGAGGTCACATTTAGCAAACAAACACTAGGATCAATTATCACATATCAGCCACATAGCACATTGCACCAAATCAAATCAAAGGAATTGAGAGACATAAGGCAAAAAGTGCATCAAATCAATTCCAAACCGATCACATCAAGCCAAGTCAATCATTTTGATTTATATTTATTTATTTATTTTAGTTAAACCAAGTCAATTCATACAGAGGCTACATCAAGTCGTCGAGTCAGATCGATCACATCAAGTCAAGAGAAATCAAATTTCATTACATCAATCAAATGATGTGGTATCAAATCAAGACATGAAGCAAAGTCAACCACCACTACATCAAGTCAGTTCAAATAACAGCAACAACCCAGCAAACACAGTTTTAAACGTTTGAGAAAAATGTATTTCTCAATGTGATTTCAAATTTTTTTCTCAAATGATTCTCAAATTGATTAATTTTACATTTGAAATTCATTTGAGGTTGATTTGAAGAAAGATGTCAAGTATCAAACGATATAAAAATGCGCAGTTAAATCAAAAATTGTAAGAATAAAATTAAGATCAATAGAAAAAAAAACAATGAATAGAAAAAAAATTCAAAGAGAAAGCCCACAAATAGTGGATTTGATGTTTTCGCGATTGAAAAAGCTGCAGCCCTTCAAGACGAATTTATTATAAATTACTTTATCTTAATTGTTTCTTTTATTATGTACATTCATATGTACATCGCGAAGAAAAAACAAATATGAAATATACATTTCCTATGATAAATTTTATTTCCACACATGATAAAAACATAGCAAGGTAGAACCGTTCTCTCAATTTGTCGGCCATGATTTTTTTTTTGAAGTTTGCCAACATTTTAAAATCATATAAAAGTGAAAATAAAAAATTGAAATTGTTCGAAACTGTTGTTGCTTGAGATTGAAAATGAAAGTGTGTGTGTGAGTTTGTGAGTAAATTTAAAAATTAAATTGTTTGGAAACGTCAAGAATTTCAAAAGTGAATCTCAGCGGTTCTACCTTACTATATTTTTATCATGTTTCCACATTTGAAGTACATTTGATAAATAACCTTTGAAATTGATTTGAGAGTTAACCATATTCTCAAATGGAGATCAAACTCCCCTTTTTATTGAGAAAGCTGTAATTTTCAAATCAATATCAAATCATTTTCAAACGTTTGAAATTTGAGAAAGGCTTTGATTTCAAATCATTCTTAAATGTATATCAAACCTAACTGTTTGCTGGGAAGCCAAGGCAAATCACATCACATCCTTTCAAATTCAGCAATAAAATACGAATATGCAGGGATATCTATCATTCAAATCACAACTAGTCAAATCAAATCGAGTAATTTAAAATCACATCAAACCCAAGTCAGAGAAGATGAAATCCATTTCAGTGATGTCAAACAAATCAGGTATATTTGGTGTGATTAAATAGCGTTATATTTATAATTATAACATATTTATATATGTAAAAATACATTTGGTAGGTAATCAGAGTCGAGTTGGCTGAACTGCATTAAATTTTTGTATTTAATTTTTACAAACACTTGCTTGAATATTTAAAAAAAAATCTATGTGCATCAATTTTTCTCCAATAAAAAATATGTTAAGATTTTATACGATTTGTTTCAAATATACGGGCATGTGCGGCAAATCGTATGATTTGCAAACCTTACTTTAGAGATTTATTTACAAAGAAGCAAAATTTCGCACTGAATCGATGGATATGGATGGATGGATATTTATTACTTTTCATAAAAATATACAAAAATAGTACGATTTGCAGCACATGCCCGATAGTCAATTTATTTTAGATCAATTAAAAAATTTTGAATTACAATAAATATTGCACAGCCTTATATTTTCTTAAAAATTGTATGTATACATATGTAAAAGTAGCATACATATTTATTGATTGCATCATTAAAATAGTATAAAGGTAAATGTGTTAGGCATTCATGCATGTACATATGTATAATTTTGTACTTAAGCGATTAGAAATAAAATACGCAATTTATTGCGTTAATCGTATATATATATGTAAATAAAATATTAGATATAAGGCGTCATTTGGCGATTTCACAGCCTGCCACGTGATTAAATGTATGTAAAGTTTGCCTAACTTCTTCTAAAATGTTCAGCACCGACCTCAAACTTCCATATAACTGCCGTGTTTGTCCTTCACCACCCAGAATGCATCTATTATTTGACCGTCTTTGTCATCTGACACCTGCTCGAAATATAAATGTGTGCCATTGTGCGCCTTCAAGCGTGTATAGCCGAAATCCTACAAAGTAAAAATGAAAATAAGTATAATCAAATACTTTCCCGCCAATTCCAACTTCACATCCATTTCATGCTCACACACCTGACTATGAAAGGCGCTCCACTTTGGCATCACTTTGAAAAAGGGTTCACGTCCCTCTTTATTACCCGCCGAACCCGTTATAATATGCACGGGTGCACGCGGATTATGATAGGGCGCCTGCAAAGAGCCATTAAACACTTGATAATCGTAAAGTGGCCACATTCGCTCATAGCAATGTTCATGGGCCCATATCGCCACATCAACACCGTGCTCATAGAAAACTTTCTCTAGTCCAAACATGTGCATCAATGGCAGCCCAGCGCGCACCACCGTTTCATGCTTCGAGCAGTCATTGCCATTATCATTACTACAATACATTGGACGATGGGCAAATGTGATGATCCAGGGACGTTGCTTGCGATTCTCTGGTTGATTGGCCTCCTTCAAATCGCGCATCAGCCACTCGTATTGAAAGATTAAACTCTTCAAGCCATAGTGGAGAAAGTAGTACAGCTCAGTGGAGAAGGTAACAAAGTGAATGGGACCTAAATCGAAGCTATAAAAGAGGTTTTCCGTGCCTCCAGGCATGCTAAAGCGTGCGCGATAGTTGGAAAAGTTACTAGCAATTGCAAAAATTACATTATAAACTAAATTTTCATTCCACAACCACCCATACACTACTCACTATGTTTGCTCATGATTACCAGCGCACACCATATACGGCACATAAGCGGCTATAGCCTCTATTTGGCGCATAAATTCATCGCCGACAGCGGCATTCTCCGAATGCATGTCGTATGCAAAATCGCCCACATGTAAAATCGCATCGTACATGTCACGCTGGGTGTCCTGCTGCAAGCGCGGCAACGACTGCGCATTCTCATTGCCCAAGTCACCGTATATGGCTAGCGTGGGTGACCAATGCGCATGCCCAGGCGGTGTGCGGAACCAATATTGTGGTGACCAGCCCAGCGGACTGCCACAATGATAAATGTAACGCTGCTCCGGTTGCAAGTTGGTCAAAGTTACCTGCAGTGTGGAAGAGAAGTGTTTAAGGTGGGAAAAAGGAAATGCCAGAGCAAGCTAACTTACCCGATGCATGTACTGTGTGCTATGCGTTTGGCCACCATCTATAAACTTTTGTGGTGGCTGAGTGGAATTTTGCACGAACTCAAATTTTTCAAGCCCGTATTGACAGATTGACGTTTTGGTGTCGTCGCGCGTCGACCAAGTGACAACATAGTCGCGGGTGGACTCTTTAAAATAATTTTTGAAATTTATAAAAAATATGTGTGTATTGGTGATATACAAACAGAAATAAAGGAGTAATTAAAATGTAGTTTAAAATAAAGTGGGGTGTTGAAAAATTGCAAAAAAGGATTTAGATATTTACAAAAGACACTGGTACATTGAAACAAATTCTTGGTTTAACAAAATATTTTTTTTTTTTCACCGTCAAATAAATATTTATTTACATAGATTTAAATTGTATAGGCCACAAAATTAAAAACAAAATCAGACACTTAAAAAGTTAAGGTTATGTACTTCACCAATACATAGGATTTCACTAACAATTTAAAGAAACAGCTTAAAACTAAACAAATGCGTCTAATGCTTGCTCAATTTCACAAGCAATTCATTAGATATGTATGTATGTATATATATATACCAATAAGTATAGTAAGTAGCTTAGGTTTCACAAAAAAGATAAAATACGCTTGAGATTCGCTGCTAGGTACACGAGCTGCGCTTTTCGGTTAATACTGTCATGAGCCAATTTATCTTTTCTAAATGGAATGTCAATATATTAAAATTTATGCCATATCTTAAAACTATGCCGTAAATTTTTGTGTGGTAAATAGCATTTACTATTTGTAATTTGTCGTATTGTGCTAAACATAACCAATGCCTTTCCAGTTTCTGTCGATTCCCAAACCGCTCTCGTTACACTTCTTATGGGCTATAACTGCCATGTTTGTCTTTGATTATCCAGAACGCGTCGATTATATCACCATTTTTATCATCGGAAACCTGCTCGAAATACAAATGCGTGCGATTGTAGGCTTTCATACGCGTGTAGCCATAATCCTAGGGAAGCAAATAGATTGCAACACATATTTAATCATTTACTTTTGCTACTCCCTTTGCCTCAATCGAAACTCACCTGACTGTGAAATGCACTCCACTCGGGCGTATCTCTTTCGAATGGCTCACGCCCCTCCTTGCACCCCGCCGAGCCTGTTATCAAGTGCACCGGCGCGCGTGGATTGCGATATGGCTCTTCCAGCGAACCATTCAATACTGTGTAGTTGTAAATAGGCCATAAACGCTCATAAGAATGCTCATGCGCCCATATTTCCACATCCACGCCATGCTCATAAAAGAGATCTTCCAATCCGAACATATGAAAAAAAGGCCAGCCAACGCGTGTTAGCGTTTCCGAATGCGTACAATCATCACCGTTTCCATTGCTGCAGTACATTGGACGGTGTCCATAGACAATGATCCAGGGACGAAGCGCACGATTATCTGGTTCATTAGCGGACTCTAAGTCGCGTAAAAGCCATTCGTATTGAAAGACGAGCATCTTCAGGCCATAGTTGAGGAAGTAATACAATTCCGTTGAGATACCAATAAAGTGCACTGGGCCCAAATTGAAGCTGTAGAAGAGATTCTCCGTGCCGCCAGGCATGTTGAAACGTGCACGATAATTCGAAAAGTTGCTGCAGCCACAAATGTTTCAAGATAAATTTAATTTTCGTACATTTTCTTCTTTTAACAAATTTCTCAACTCACTACTTCTCCTCGTGATTGCCCGGCACCACCATGTATGGCACATAGGCAGCAATCGTTTCCACTTGTCGCATAAATTCATCACCCACGCGCGCATTCTCCGTATTCATGTCGTAGGCGAAATCACCAACGTGTATGATCGCATCATACATGCCACGCTGCGTGTCCTGTTGCAGGCGCGCCAGCGATTGTGCATTTTCATTGCCCATATCGCCGTAGAGTGCCACAGTTGGCGCCCAATCAACGCCAGCAGGCACTGTGCGAAATTCAAAGCGCGGTGACCAACCCAATTGACCGCCACAATGATACAAGTAAGTGCGGTTGGGCAAGAGATTAGATATCGAGACCTATTTGTGTATATTTGAAATCAGAGTGCGAGGAAAAAGAAACAAAAAGGGAATCAAACGCAGCTCAAGAAAACAATAATAATGCATTATACAGTAAATGAGTAAATCGTACAGGCTTTTTTTACAAAGTCAAGCCGTCATGGGCTACTCGTTTACTGGTACAGCAAAGTGTCTTGGTAACTTTACCCTATGTATGTATTGTGATATTTTCTTATCGCCGCCATCAACAAACTTCTGGGACGTCCCATAGGCGCGCTGTGTTAAACTATCAAAACCGTACTCAACAATGGATTCAATGGCATCATCACGCGTGGACCATGTCACCACAACTTCATTGGATTGTTCTGTAAATACAGAAGTAGCAAACAGAGAAGACATGATTGCTGGTGTGCCAATGAAATATTGCATTCTAAAAAGCTAGCTTCATACATTTTAATTTTTCTGATTTCATAGTAATAATTTAACGATTTTAGATTTAAAAAAAAAAAATCAGAAGGTCCTCTCAATCAACAAAGAAAAATATGCATATGATTCTAAAGTGCTTTTGCGTAGCATTGAGTAAAAAATAAGTTTCAAATTTTTTTTATTTTTAATATCGGTCATTGTTATTGTTTTCTTATCTTTGTTTGCCATTTTCTGCTAGACTAGCAGCCCACCACAATAAGTTCGACGAGCTGGCTTATCAGCGCACTCCAATGAGCGTAAATAATAGGCGTCAAATGTAATCCAGGGTTTGAAAAAAAACTGGGCTATGAAAACAATACATTTTTTTGAGCTTAATTATAGAAATATTGCGATTAGTATGAACATATACACTTACTTGAAGAACACAGATTCCACGTACATAAAATCGTATTTATTCATTTTATAAATGCCTCATTAATGTTTGCAATATTTTCCATAAGTAAATACAGTGTTGGCAAAATGTTAATCTGATTAACGATTAAAAATTCACGATTAAAATGTTAATCGCGATTGACGGGAAAAATTAATTCGTTCCCACGACAGTCGGGTCTACGTAACCGGAACGACCCAGATTTATATTTGGCTAAGGACTGTCACTCCAGCAACACTCCCCAAAACTCTTTGGGGAACTTGTTTGCTGCTACAACAACAACAGTAAAATTAATTAATCGTAATCAACTGTATGATTAATGAATAATTTTTTTTAATCGTTTATCGCTGGCGGCAATTACGATAAATAATTTTAATCATCAATCGTTAGTCCAATTAAAAGCAAAATTTCATTACGTTGTCTACTTTATCCGAATTCGAAACCAAACACCAGTTGTAGTAAATATTTTGTGTTTTACGCTTATAATATAAAATAATAATTATAATTATTATTAGTAATACATAAAGTGAGAACTTATACAACACAGCGCACGTGTGCAGAGGGATATTAAAACCTAGTTGCACACCAAATTTCTTAGATTGATGAGGAAACCCGACTTAGCCATACCCGATTAACTGACTTTGTGTGCACAGGAAAATTTCAGCATTAATTAATTAATCACCAAACTAACTTAATCAAATTAAGAGTTAATGATTCAAAATTAATTTTTTTATCGCAGTTACTAATAACTGTTTAATCAAATTAAAATCAATCATGATTAACTGTAATCGGATTGAATTTAATCGAATCAACTAACTGATTAAAAAATCAATCGATTGGTGCCAGCTTTTAGTAAAGTGTCCCCTTTCGAATGAGGGGGGTTTAGGGGGTTACGTCCCCTCCCCCTGTATTAATTTGACCCTACCGAATTTGTCGTACCTCTTTTGGACTTAGCAAATTTGCTTTTTATTATATACAAACAAGAATTAATTAAAAAAGTTTCCTAATACTTTTGGAAACGATGCATTTTTAGTTACTCTTGCTTCCTTAATCAAAATATGAGATCTGACAAAAATACGACTTAGCAACTTTTCACTCTAAGCTAGCAATATGTATACTGATAACAGAAACTCGTTTTCAAGGCAAACAATCTGAAGCTTAGCCAATATTACATATGTAGGTATGTAACTTGCATGCCCATATGCACTTTTACCACCCACTAATTGTGATGAGGCATTATTTTAGCATATGCACTTTAGTATGCATGTATTTGCAATGTAAATTGGTATGTATGTATGTATATGTTTTTACAAATCCCTACAATTTCTTTCCCCGCACCTTCCAGAATTTTTTCTGGAAAATTTTCATTTCGACACAGCCGCAAAATTGGTACGTATGTACATATTTCAAAGTGGTTAGATGGCTTAAAATAAACTATATTTTTGTCCACTTACCTCCGAAAGCCAAATGTACTTGTTCCGGTTGATAGTGGTATACTTTGTTCACATTGATCTCCTCCAGCTTTTGCGCAGCAACGCTGACCAGTAAAGCAAATGGAAATAAAAATAGTGAACGCATTGCGTTCNTTTTCACTCTAAGCTAGCAATATGTATACTGATAACAGAAACTCGTTTTCAAGGCAAACAATCTGAAGCTTAGCCAATAATACATATCTAGGTATGTAACTTGCATGCCCATATGCACTTTTACCACCCACTAATTGTGATGAGGCATTATTTTAGCAGATGCACTTTAGTATGCATGTATTTGCAATGTAAATTGGTATGTATGTATGTATATGTTTTTACAAATCCCTACAATTTCTTTCCCCGCACCTTCCAGAATTTTTTCTGGAAAATTTTCATTTCGACACAGCCGCAAAATTGGTACGTATGTACATATTTCAAAGTGGTTAGATGGCTTAAAATAAACTATATTTTTGTCCACTTACCTCCGAAAGCCAAATGTACTTGTTCCGGTTGATAGTGGTATACTTTGTTCACATTGATCTCCTCCAGCTTTTGCGCAGCAACGCTGACCAGTAAAGCAAATGGAAATAAAAATAGTGAACGCATTGCGTTCCAGATTTTTTCAAACAACTGGTCACAAAGTTCAATTTATCGACGCAGATTATATATGTAATATATTTGAATAATACTCCGCGTCACTAATTGCAATAGTTTAAGCTGAATAAGACAAACTCATGCGAAAATGGATCCGATTTCTTTGGAAACCAAAAGCAAAATCAACCCAGAAATAGCAAAAGAAAACAGTACACATGGGGATGGAATGATACTACGAGTAAATACAAGTACATAGTCGATACTTTTTGATCGATACCAAGAAATTTTGGCATCGATGCTTTTGATCCAAGTACTGAGTGGGTATCGAAAAACAAATACTCGTATCGAAACACGATACCACGGCAAATTTGGCTTCGGCAATTTTTTTGATGTCATCACCTCCAACTGTCATTTTGACTAACAACATGATTGAAAGTTTTTGTGTGTGAGCACTTTGATGTCTTGATATAAGTATTTGCCACATGACGCCACCAGACAACATTCTCTCAATTTAGGTGTTTACAAACTTTAGAATCTTAAAAAAAAATTTGTGTAACAGTTACCTCAAACGTAATCATAAATAATGAAATAGGGTACTGCTTCTTATTTTTCATCGATCTTACCACCAGCACATATGGCTGTCAAG